AGAATAGTGCAACAATGAATGAGTGGAAGCCCAAAATCTCTGTAAATGTTTATGAAAATTAATAAAATATAATTATAGAAAAAAACAATATACTGAGTGAAATAAAGTCCAAGTCATTGTGACAAAAAAAAATAGAAATTAATCCGATGAGGATGCAGCTTACAAAACCAACCATATGGAATGAAATAACTCTCTGCTAGAACATAATTGGGATATTAATGAAATAAAAATTTCTTTGAAAAAATTAAAATGAATATACAACATACTCAAACCTCTGGAATACAGCTAAGGTGGTCCTCAGGGGGCAGTTCATAGCAGTAGGCACACACATAAAAAAAGGAAGAAAGAAAAAAATCAGTGATCTAACTCAACATCTTCATCAAATAAAAAAAGAACAACAATCTAATCCTACAGCCTCTAGTAGAAAAAGAATTATAAGGACAGGAGCTAAAACCAATGAGAGAGAAAACAGAAAAACAACTGAAACAATCAGTAAGACCAGGCGCTGGTTTTTCTAATGGGTCAATAAAATTGACAAACCACTGGTAAACTTAATAAAAGAAAAAAAAGGAGAGGATGTAGATAATTTGATTAAAAAATTATAGAGGTGACAATACAGCAGAACCAGATGACATTAATATTGTAATACTATGAAGTGCTCTACTCTGATAAATTTGAAAACCTAGAGGGAAAAAAACAAATTCCTTGAAACTCATGCCCTACCCAGATTGGGAAGGACAGATACAGAAAGAACACTTAGACCCATGACAAAAGAAGAAATTGAACATGTCATAAAAAGACTTCCCCATAAGAAAAGTCCTGGACCAGACGGCTTCACAGCTGAATTCTACCAAATCCAGAGATTCAGAGAGGATCTATCATTAATACTACTTAAATTATTTAAAAAAATTGAAAGAACACTCCCAGAGTCATTCTATGAAGCAAGCGTAATTCTAATACCAAACCAGGCAAAGATATTATCAAGAAGGAAAACTGCAGAACAGTATCTCTCATTAAGATAGATGAAAAAATTCTTAACAAAATCCTAGCCAACAGAATTAAAAAGCACATAAAAAAATTGAACATGATCAAATGGGATTCATAACAGGTATGCAAGGATGATTCAACACAAGGAAAACAATCAATTTATTCACCATAATAATAAAACAAATAACAAGAACCATATGTTCTTAGCAATTGATGCAGTAAAGGCATTTGACAAAATCCAACATCCCTTCCTGATAAAGACACTCAGCAAAATTGGAATAGAAGGGAATTTCAGACTGTGTAACAATGAAGGAGTTTTTCTTCTTTTCAAGGAGAGGAGTGAACTGGGGGTGCGGGTGGGGTGGGTGAGGAGAAAAGTGCAACAATGAATGAATGGAAGTCCAAAATCTCTGTAGATGTTCATTGAAATTAATAAAAAAAAAAAGAAAAAGAAGGGAATTCATCAACTTAGTGAAAAGTACATATGCAAAACCAAGAGCCAATATCATTATCAATGGTGAAAGACTAAAAGCCTTTTCTTTGTGAACAGGGACTAGACAAGGATGCCCACTGTCACCACTTCTATTCAATATTGTACTGGAAGTGCTTGTTATGGCAATATGACAAGAGAAGGAAGTAAAAGGCATCCAGATCATCAAAGAGATGGTTAAACTGCCACTAATGATATGATAGTGTACACAGAAAACCGCAAAGACTCAACAAAAAAACTGTTAGCGTTAATAGGCAGTACAAGAAATAACAGTAGAGTGGCAGGATATAAGATCAATATCCCAAAATCAGTGGAATTTGTCTACAGTAACAAAGAGAACTCAGAAAAGGAATCCAATACAATAGCCAACCACAAACTGAGATACTTGGAAGTGAACCTAACTAGAAACACAAAGACCTCTAAAAGAAAACTACAGAACATTTCTGCAAGACACAATAAAAGGCCTAAAGAAATGGAAAGATGTGCCCTGTTCATGGATAGGAAGACTCAATATTGTGAAAGAGACAATACTACCAAGTACAATCTACATGTTCAACACAATCCCAGTCCAGATACCAAATCCATTTTTCGAGGAGATTCAAAGAGAATTTGTCAAGTTTATTTAGATAGGAAAGAGACCTCAAATAAGCAAACCACTTTTGAAAAAAGTGAACTCAAAACCTACTACACAGGGGTAGTAACCAAAACAGCATGGTACTGGTACAATGACAGGCACATAGACCAGTGGAAGAGAATTGAGAACCCAGGAATGAACACAGCTATCTGTGGTCAACTGATATTCAACAAGGAAATAAAACTTGTCAAATGGGGAAAAGACAAATGGTGCTGGCAAAACTGGACTGCTTACCTGCAGAAAGCTGAAACAGGATCCACATCTC